GCACTCCCCCCATCATTCACTATGGTAAGATTTTTTGTTCTGATGATGCCTTACACCTGATCCCTTCGACAACTCGTGGTGAGACTTTAACTCTTTATAGGAGTAGCGATCACTGTCTTTCTCTTTCCGAACAGCTGGTGGTTTCAAACTGCTGATTGTTTTACAATGAATATTTTTTTCTGGCCAAGATTAACTATCATCCCTATTATTGTTTAATACTTCTAATCGTAGAGAATAAGATGCTTTATTACATCTGTCTGTTAGTAATGAAAATAACTTGTATTGGATTGAATTCAGACTATGCACATATTGTAGGTGGTTTATATAGGTTACATTACTCTATCCCCTGATTCATTAAATAAGCTTAACTTCCTGGGATAGGACCAGAAAACAGCTTTATTCTTATTCACCGTGTGGATTTTTCCTTATTTCCCAATCCAGCCCTGCATGAGCAGATTTTCCAGTCACTATCTGATATTAATCAAGTCTAGTCCAGCAGTTTTTTAAAAAAGCTTTTTATTGGGGGCTCCTACAGCTCTTATCACAATCCATACATCCATTGTGTCAAGCACCTTTTCATATTTGTTGTCACCATCCTTTTCAAAACTTTTTTTTTCTTAAGCTTTTGGTTTCAGTTCCGCATTCCCACACCACCTCCCAACCCTCCCACCCTCCTGAACCCAGCCAGTTTTTTAAACTGTGAACTCTCAATTCAGTGTCTGTTCTCTTGCAGCTAGGGATCAAAAATCTATTGTGGAGAAGAAGGTGCAGTTGGTATGTTCTCTCTCTCTCTTGTTCTTTTCAGTAGCAGCAATAGCACTAGCAACAGCTGCTAGGGACCCCTGTGATGATGAGAGTAGTCAGATGGCTGCTGCTTTGTGGCCTCGCAGAAGAGTCTTGGGCTGCTAACGGCAAAGTCAGCTGCCAGCTACTCCTCAGGGGAAAGATGGGGCCTTCTCCCATAAATAGTTATTGTCTTGGAAACTTACAGTAATGGTTCTACCCTGTCCTATAGGGTCATTATGAGTCAGCATTGACTCAATGGCAGTGAGTCTTGTGCCTGGCAGTAGGG